ATGTGTTTATTGTTTTCCTCTCTCTCTCTCCCATCCTCTCTCTCTCAAAATCAAAAACATTTAAAAAGGATTTTAAATAAAGAGCACTCAGAACTCATTTAGGTAAATTCCAATTCCTAGGTGGTTGTACAGGCAAGGGCTTTCGGGTTTCAGTTGCAACTTTGTACAAGAGATGGAGAGATTTATAAACCTCTTCCTCACTGACTTTTTTCCTAAAGTAAAAACAGAAATTATACCCTGGCGTCATCCTGTACACTGAAAGGTTGCAGGTTCGATTCCCAGTCAGGGCACATACCTAGACTATGGTTTCAATCCCTGGTCGGTGTGCATACAGAAAGGCAACCAAGTGACTCTCTCTCTTTTTTCTCTCTCTTTCTCTCCCCGCCCCCCCATCCTCTTCCCCTCTCTTTAAAATAAATAAGCATATCCTCAGGTGAGGATTAAAAAAACTCGAAGAAATTATGTATCAAATCTATGTGGTTTTATATTGCATTGAATAAAATTTTTCTGTTTCCTAATTATACGTTTAAGGTGAAACATTTATTTTACAGCTTCTTTCTATTTTTTTTTCAAATAAAAACTTGTATTTTGAATTATTTTTTTCTCATATGAGTATATTTATCCACAAAGTAGAGAATCTGTCTGGTAAGTTTTAAAACGAGAGATCCAAAAACAAAAGTCTCCAAAGTCTCTAAACTTGGAACCTGTAATTTTAAAATATTTTATATAATATAAAAGACCAAATCCAGCCCAGACTGCTTTTCATGGCCTATTAGCTAAGAATTATATATACAATTTTAAATGATTTTTTAAAAAAGAATATTTCAATACACATGAAAATTAATATGAAGTTCAATGTCCATAAATAAAGGCTTATTAAAATACAGCCATACTCATTCATTTATCTACTATTTTTGGCTGCTTTTGTACAATAATGACAGAGTTGAGTAGTTGCTTCACAGACTATATAGTCTGCAAAGCCTAAAGTATTTGCTTTCTGACCCTTTACAGAAAAAAGTTTGCCAACCCATGGTCTACAGTATAATGTAATGTGACAAGTGTCCCAATGTATCAATATTTTGGGATAGGTTTTTTAACTGGTTCAGAGGTTCTTGTTTTAGAATCTTTGTTATTATTGCCTTAAGAGAAAAAAAGGTCAAATCACAAAAGAATAATAATCTTCTTTCAAATTACGTTGTAGTGTAACAAAAGAGTTCCATCTAGTGAGGAACACCTAGATATTTAACAAAAAGGAATAAAAGCATATGTCTATACACACTTGTACAAAAATGTTCATAGCAGCATTATTTATAATAGCCCCAAACAGTAATATCCCAAATGTCTGTGAACCGGTGAAAGACAAAGTGTGGTCTACCCACACAATGGACTACCACTAAACAACAGAAGGAATAAAACGTTGACCACTCAACATGAATCTCAAAATAATGATGCCAAGTGAAAGAAGCCTAACACTTCCCCCCAAAATAAGAGTATATACTGCATAATTCCATTTATATAAAATTCTAGAAAATGTAAACCCATCTATTATAACATAAAACAGATTGGTGATTGCCAAGGGATGAGGTTAGGTGGTGGAAAGGGGCAGAAGACTTCAGAGGTGATGGACATGTTATCTTAACTGTGATGACAGTTTCACAGTTATATAACTATGTCAAAACTTTTCAAATTGTACATTTTAAATATGTGCAATTTATTGTATGTCAATTATACCATTATAAAACTTTAAAAAATCCCATCTGTGCTCTTTTATATTGGGTAGATTTTCACTTACTAATCTACACTAATAAAAGAGAAACATGGTAATTAGCGTACGACCGCTACCCTTCCCATTGGCTAATCAGCATATCCTTATGCAAATTAACTGTCAGCCAAGATGGCGGCCGGCAGCCACGCACTGAAGCGAGCAGGGAGGCTTGCTTGCTCCAGTGACTGCAGACTCCAACGTTCCCCGCCTGACTTGCCGGCCTCTGAGTTGCAACTCTAAGCAACTATGTACTATGTTGCAAATGTAGAAGCTAAACAAAACCC